CATTGCAAAGCCTGTAAATATAATATGTACTGGTTCCCTTACACTTTAATCCGAAACATAAAAGTAGGTTTGGCGATGATTGGAAGCAGAAATAGGAAAGAAGATGATGCCTACACAAACGAACTAAGTAGAAAATTCTTAAGGAATTCATCATTTTTCTAGTGCGTTTAAACGCATTAAGCTCTTCTCAAACCCTTTCTCATGGTAATTGAAAATCATGTCAGAAGGCAACCAAAATTAATGTCAAATACAAAACAAGCATTTACTTAAATAATTTACTTAAATCTTAACTGGAGCTCCTTAGCTAATAAGTATTTTAATTATTTTAACCCGTTCCCAATGTAAAATTTTGCCAAGCTTCGTATCATTGAAGCTGAAATTGGAACGCGCTTAGTGTTCTGAGTACGCCCATGCATATGAATCTCATGTGCAAACACACAGCCTTCAAAATTTTAATTGATTCTGCTATTCTGCAGATCTAGCTTACTTTAAATATATATTTTATTTCTTGAAAAAATAAAACCATCACTATGTCTGCCAACGTTTTATTTCTTAATTTAGATATACGTTGATTAATTTAGGAATTCCCCTAGGTATTAAGTCCGTATATCATAACATATGTTATATCATAACGTATATTTTGTGACCTTTCCAAGGCCTTCGACTGTGTTCACCATGAGATATTAATCAGGAAGCTACAGTACTATGGTGCCAAGAACACAGCGCTTAAACTTATTATTTCATATTTAAGTAATAGAAAACAGAAGGTTATTATCAATGGTAAAAGTTCTTCCGGGTCACCTGTACTAATGGGTGTTCCTCAGGGCTCGATTCTCGGCCCATTCCTGTTTCTGGTGTATATTAATGACTTACCTCATCTTGTAGGGGATAGTCATGATATAGTATTATTTGCTGATGATACTTCCTTGATTTTTAAACTTAAACGTCAATCATTTAAATGTGACGAAGTGAATAATGCTATATCAAAATTAGTGCATTGGTTTAACGTTAATAATCTGCATTTGAACGGAAATAAAACTAATTGTGTTAAATTTACAACAACGAATGTTAAAAATCTTAATACCAATGTGTTTTTAAATGGGGAGGAATTGAGCCCTGTTGTATCCACTGTTTTTCTTGGCATCACTCTTGACGCAAAGCTACAGTGGGGCCCCCATATATCCAAATTAGCAAGCAGACTAAGTTCTGCAGCCTATGCTGTAAAAAAGATTAGAGGTCTCACTAGTGTCGAGACAGCTAGATTAGTTTATTTTAGTTATTTTCATAGCATAATGTCTTATGGGATTTTGCTATGGGGAAATGCGGCTGATTCAGAAACTATTTTTGTTTTACAGAAGAGGGCCATTAGAGCTATTTACAATCTAAAACCGAGAGAGTCCCTTAGAGATAAATTTAAAGAAATTAATATATTAACTTTGGCCTCTCAGTATATTTACGAAAATTTAATGTATGTTCACAAAAACAAAGATAGTTTTAGTAAAAGAAGTGATATACATTCTGTAAACACTAGGAACAAACACAAGCTAGTGATACCAGTTTCTCGACTCCACAGAGTCAGTAATTCATTCTTGGGGCAATGTATACGCTATTACAACAAGGTCCCGAAAAGTGTACAGGTTCTCTCTATTACCAAGTTTAAATGTTTTATTAAGCTGAAACTGTATAAAAAGGGTTATTATAGTATAAATGAATACATGGTTGATAATAACCCCTGGGAATGAGGTGATCGCTTCCAAGCAGTTTCTAAAATAAATTTTGTAAATAGTTCGTAATCATTTATATTGTAAAACTTATTTAAAAAAAAAGTCCCGCTGGGTTTCTTGCTGGTTCTTCCCAGGACAGAGGGTTTTTTCGAACCAGTGGTAAAGTAAAAAATGACTTTCAATAAGAATTACACATGTAATGTATATTTAATAAAAAATATTCTATTCTATTCTATTCTATGGAATTCTAAGATAACGATTAAATGAATGGGCAATTTTCACGTTATTTGTTAAATAACGTTCCGCACCGGGAATCACAGTGGCGTAACATAGATAGCTGCCGTCCGGGGCCGTTAAAGGCCCTCTCTTCACTCCCCTTTCTTTTCGAAGTATGTTTAATATAATATAAAATGAGTATATGTCTTCTATAGTCATTGTATATTTTTTTTAAATTTAGAAAATAAGAAAATATATTTTTATAGATTTCTCACAATAGAGTAAATTTACTCTACTACTATTATATTGTAAATAGATTTATAATCTGTAAGTATACAAACTATGATCACACTTACAATGATCAAAATTCCATGTACATTATCTTTCTAAACCTTCATGAGTAATATATTCTCGTATTATTCCCTTGTAATCCATTTACTTTTAATACACAGAGAAGATCAAGACACGTTTCGTTTTTATTCCTTCCAGAGGAATAACAAATTAGCCGAGGTCAAGTTTCGTAATTTATTTATAAAAGGTTTTATCTCTATTCGGATCATTTCTTCTTTTGTTTATTTTCGTTTTTTTATTTTTCTTTATAAAATTAGGGTAACAAGTACAATTGATGGTAAGTGGAGTTATTGGCCCATAGCCACCAATATCTATCATCGATTAAGGAACAAATTAATGCGTTGTTACCACACGGAACTAAGATAAAGAGTATCTGGATCTTTACACTCGCCATAAGAAACGCAGCAGCATTAAGCTGCTACTTCACATGTAATCTGTAAGAACATGAAGGTGGTTTACATACATAAAATGCACAAGGACACAAATCCAGACCCAGAACAATTACTTGTAGGCCACAAGAGCACTTATCTTTGCGGGATTCGAACGCCCTGCAACACCGTGACGAAACGCTTAGCCACTACACTTTGTAGCATTCAGATACAGTATCAGACGGCTCGCATATTTGTTGATGCCTCCTGTCGCTGGTAGGGGCATTTTACAACTTGTATACACTAGACAGTTATAACGCTATCTATAGAAGGCTATGAAATATTTCCCGAAATCGCCTCTTACGAAAGAAAAAGGACAAGAAAAAAGAAGGAAGAAAGAAAGGAGGTAACGGATTCTCTTTCGCCAAAACTATACTTAATATATGATAATTATTAGTGTTAACAAAATGAATATTTTTTAACTTATTATAATATATTTTAAGTGGATAGAGCTATGCTGCAGCTATATTACTAGTATAGTTATAGCACGAATGGGTCGGCTCAATCGGGGAAGGACCTCGCTCTCACAGAATACCAGCGTAAATTAGCAGCATAAGGCTTTTGTGTTTCGTATGGTGAGTGTAGGGAACCGGAGACCCTTTTTTACTGGAAACGAGGCATTCCATCTTAGTCCTCACAGGTGACAACGCATCTACATTTTGATTCGTAATCGAGGACATCTATGGGCCACAGCAACCACTTACCATCAGGTGGACTGTGTGCTCGTTTGTGACCCCTATTCTATTAAAAAAAATCTCACCTGGTGGTGGGTGGCGATGAAGCTTAGATGGTAAATAGCGTCTCAGCGTAACAAAAGCATAATTAACATTTGCTTTGTTGTTATTAATACCCAGATTATAATCGGATGGAAAAATTATTACGCGATACTTAATATTATCTATATAATAATATTATTATATGGATAATATATATATTATAGCACATTATCGCGTTCAAGTCGACTTCGCTCGGATAGAACGCCGAGTTATTGTCTATTGTCGCAGTTTTAGATGCAAGTTCACTGCTATTGCTATGATAACTTTTATGAGTCTCACGTTGCCTTATTCGCTTTTGTATTCAGTCGTAAACATACTTATTTACGATGGTTCCGAAACGTCCTTAGTTCACGAAAGCAATAAAATGAGCGGATGTGCAAGGACGTAGTTTTTTTTCGGTCCAATACAAAAAGTACGATATGAAAACTCACTATTTTCTTTTTGGTTGATAAGCAAGCATACAGTTCACCTGATGGGAAATGGAAGCTGAGCCCCATAGACATTTACATCTATCCTCGATTAAGGGTCAAAATAAGAATTCACGCATTCTTATTTTGATCCACAGGATAAAATAGAATTCCTCGTTAACAGTAAAATGCGTCTTAAAGGTTTTCTGCACTCACTATATGAAGCAGCATTATTCTGCTATTTCACACTGGTATTCTGTGCGGTCGGGACAGGACTGCGCAGTCCTGTCCCGATCTAGCCGCAAGCCATAATAGCTGCAACGTAGCTCTACCACGTAAATATGTTTCTATGTACTTTCTTCTTCTTCTACCTAGCGTTTATCCCGGTAGCTCATCCCGCCCGGCGCGGGAGGACCCAGGGTCCGTTTTCCTACACTTCCTCCTCCACTTTGCCCGGTCTTCGGCGTCCCTCACAACTAGCCTATTGGCGCGCAAGTTATCCTGCACGACATCAAGCCAGCGTTTCTTGGGCCGTCCTCTACTTCTGGTACCAGGTAGATCATGTCCAGGCATTTGTTTCCCACGTAGCTTGCCGGTCGTCGTAAGACGGTCGTACCAGCGGAGGCGACTTTCCTGCAGCTTGTCAGCAATGTCACGGACATGGATGCTGCCGCGGATTTATGTATTCCGTACCCGGTTTTTCCGCGTCACGCCACACATCCACCGCAGCATGTTCATCTCCGTGACATGCAACAACTGCCGGTGTCGCTCCAGCACCGGCCACGCCTCACTGCCGTACGTAAGGACAGGCCTTATGATGGTCTTATAGACCTGTCCCTTCAGCTTGACCGGCATTTTGGGGTCACAAATGACACCCGTCACCTCGCGCCATTTCGCCCAAGCCGCTGATATACGGGCCTTGATGTCGCGATCGATGTCCCCGGACGCATCAAGCACAGATCCGAGGTACCTGAAGTTATCCGTGCGCTCGACGGTGTCGTCGCCTATACGAAGATACGTCAAATCTGTGCTGTTGCAGGCCATATACTCCGTCTTCGCCACGTTTAGCTTCAGCCCGCCGTTCTCAAGCGCCTCCCTTCATGCGTGCACGCGTCTGGTGAGCCGTCCTTTGTCCCCATCTACCAGTGCGATATCATCAGCGTACATAAGCAGCCAAGGCTGCGGTAGTTTCTGTACGCTGGCTGACAGTTCGTCTAATATCACACCGAAGAGATAGGGGCTTAAGACGAAGTCCTGATGCACGCCTACGGTTATGGGGAAGGGGGTGGTATCACCAACAGCGGTCCTGACTATTGAATCGGAGTTGCGGTACATGTCACGTACGATTTCCACGTAGGTCTCTGGTACCAACTTCGACCGCAACGCCCACCAGATCATCTCCCTGGGAACACAGTCAAAGGCCTTCTGCAGGTCTAGGAATAAAAAATGCAGAGGCATATTCTTTTCCCTGTGCTTCTCCATGAAGATCCTTAGGGCGAATATAGGGTCCATAGTACCGTGTTCTGGTTGTAAACTGTACTGGGAGTCCGACACTGTACACTCCTGTTGGATCCTGGTGTCAATAATGCGCTCGAAGAGCTTCATGGTGTGTGACATCACATTTATACTGCGGTAATTACTGCAATCCTGAACGGACCCTTTACCCTTGTGGACCGGCGTTATTATACTAAGCCGCCACTGATCGGGCATTATTCGGTCGCTCAGGATTCTATTATAAAGGTTAGTAAGAATGCACACACCACGAGCCCCCAGCGCTTTCCACGTTTCAATTGGCACCTCGTCTGGTCCGACAGCTTTCCGATTCTCCATGTGACGAAGAGATGCGAGGACCTCGTCAGGTGTGATCGGTGGCACGAGTCCATGGTTCGGGAGTTGTTCGGGAGGGTGCACTTCCCGGTCAGCAAAAAGTGGAAATAAGAGCGCCATCTCTTCTTCACCGCACGATCATCGCTCGCAGAAGCATCGCAGAAGCTCGCCATTAGGGCCGTTGACGCTGTAGCAGCGAGTAATATCTTGCGCTTCTTTGGCCCTAGAGCGCGCCAGTTTATATATGAGCTTGTACCCCTCAGGAGTGTCCAACTTAGCATATAATGAATGCAAGTGGTCACGCCTGGCTCTGGCTACTGCTTTCTTGGCAGCTCATTTCGCTGTCTTGTAAGATGCGCGATCTTCAGGAGATTTGGTCACTTGCCACGTCTTGAAGAGCGCTTTCTTCTCCCGTAATGAACCCTGGACTGGGGCGTACCACCACCAGGTCTCCTTGTCGATTTTGTGTCCCCCTTTCGCCACGCCGAGAACTTGCTTTCCGTCTTTGTGATTGCTGTCTGAATGGTTTTCCAGCACTCTTGGACGGGCTTGCCTGCTGTGTCGAGACTAATATCCCCAGCGGCAGAGTCAAACTCTGAGTCTGATCCAGCAGCAGCCACCACTTGATTTGACGGCGGCAACGTTCGGCGTGTCTGCGACGAGGTTTTACGCAGAGGTCCATGACAAGAAGTCGGTGTTGGGCAGTGAGACACTCACCGGGTATGACCTTACAGTTGGCCACGCGACTGATATGACTTCTCCTGGTCAGTAGATAGTCGATTTGAGTGGCGTTCCGACCGCTCCTGTAGGTAATCAGGTGCTCGCTTTTCTTTTTGAAGAACGTGTTCACCACGGCCAAGTCAGCTGCAGTGCAGGTTCTGACAATGGTTTCCCCCTCTGCGTTTCTTCGACTGTAACCATAGCCGCCGTGGAAACGTTCTTACTCCCCCTGCACCTCGCCCACATGACCGTTCAGGTCGCCACCCAAAACGATCTCCGAGCCGATCCCAAAACAGCGTCTTATCCGCGTCGCTGCAGCCGACCTGTGGGGCGTAGGCACTTATTAAGTGGGTCACGACCCCCTCAATAAGCAACCTTACTACCATAAGTCGGTCGCATATGCGTCTAACTTCCAAGACGCTATTGTGGAAATGCTCGGCGAGCACCTGCCACTTTACGCCTGGCAAGTATGGCCGCAAGTTCTGCGGAGCGTCCCGTAAGCGTGCCAATGTTCCAGTTTGCAAAGCGAATCTTCGTAGTTGGTGCTAACGTCTTTAGCCGGGCTCGCACGGGGCCCGGTAACTCTCGCATACTTGTCGCAGGGTCAAGGCGATCCCCATGCGCGTCGTTATGCGGCAACACCCTAGTCCTAAACGTATATCTCTTTCTTTTTCTTTCCATTTTTGAGTGGCTTAGTGCCAATTACCGGGGCGACTGCCGTCTGACCCCCGAACCCCTAGGACGAATCCCAGAGGAGTGGCATCGCCAGAGCCCTTTCCGTTGTCCAGCAGGTGCGCCACGTGCAGGCGGGGTTGGCTTGGGCTCCAAGATCTTAGCGGAGCCCCTTACACCCTATGTTTCTATGTACTTTAATAGGGTATATTTGTATGGGCTACAAATAATTTTATTCCAATCTGGATGTTTGTCCAATTACAATTTACGCATTTGAAACGCTTAAAAATAAAAAATACGAATTTTATTTTTGTTTTACTGTAAAAATTTAATATAAGATTTAAGCAAAAAAGTCCATAACTTTCTAAGTAGGAAGTCTACTAGTTAAGTTTTTCCTTATCACCTGAGACTTCATTCGCTCCTTGGAATAGTTATAATATACTGAATTTGTCGTAGCTTAGTAGGCTCTCAGTATAAGTATCACCCTACAAGAAGGCTATCTATACCAGCAGAAATATCATTATTTAAGCTTTAAAAAATACAAAAACTTTAAAATAAATTTTAAGCGCGATTGAAATTATTTTTTATTTCATTTCGGCAGCCTCGAACTACTCATTCATCACCGCATGAATGCAGACGGCGGAAGTCATTCCTATTCGCAGTCCAATTGCGTCATTGAATATTAAATGTAAATTATTGCTGCAAAACGTTTAAATATGGTGAATAAGATTTTTAAGAAAGAAAAATTAATAAAAATAATAATAAGTCTTCCCGATAAATCTCGAAGAAAAATTGAAAGTATGGCAGAATTAGAACTGCTCACAGCTAAATATCCGTCCAGTTCAGATATAAGCAATGCACCACAAACTGAAACAATGGCATCTCATAAAAAATATTCAACGAACAGTGCAAACGTTCCTAAGAAAACACGCCGGCGTTAATATTGCTTTTGTGTAGTTATATATTACATTTATACAATGTCCCATATTTCGCCGTATCATCTATAATGTTTCATGTCGGTAATCAAAACTTTAGTTTGTACTATAATTAACCAATATAGTTTTCTTTGTAGGTACATTATCATTCGTATTACACTGCTTGCAAAAGATCACCTTACACTTTAATAAGTATTTACTTTGAATACATTCATAGCTTGAACGTTTGACATCAAGTAATATAAAGGTATTCTGCGACATTGGCGTTCAACACAAATGAACACATTTGTGTCGGTGTCGTGGAATATTTTTATTTTTATTTTATTTTATCAAATTATATGCGTCATTCCGTTACAGCATTTTTAGAAAGTGATAATAGATATTCTTTATTGCACGAAACACAAAATATCTTAATTTTAAGAACTAATATTTTATTTATATTTAAGTGATTGTAGTACATACATGGGTTTGACATTTCATTTTTTGTACTATCTATAAAATATGTAGCCTGTAGCCAGCTTTCTTTTTGTTTTCTTTTCTTTTTTTTCTTTTTTAATCACACTAATTGTTTAATTACTAATGTTAGTTGTTAGTATAAATTTCTTCCATCACGCCAGTGAGTAAGATGAGTTGCCCTTAATGTTAATTTTTTTTTTCTATATATAATATTGAATAAGTATAAGATAATTTATTTTTAATTTACTTACATATTATTTTATATTTTAGTAAATTTCTGTTTTTAAATATTTTTATTAGCATTGTACCTTTTTTTTAAATATGTATACAGATATCGATACAGATAATAATGATAGCTATTTCTCATGTTCGTCTTCTTCTAACAGCTTTCTAAGCCTGGACTCTGAGCCTTCCGTAGATCTTAACCTGCATGATCGTATTTCAACCCTTTTCTCTCAATATCCTGACAATCTTAATATAATATATTATTCTGACCTTCTCGCATCCTTTGACAGTACTCATTTAGATGCTCTTCTAATTTCTGAGTCTTTTCTCAAGCCTTCCCTCCCTTCTATCCAATATTCATTACCTGGTTTCGTTCTTATTCGTAACGATAGGGTAGGCAAAGGTGGTGGAGGTGTTGCTATCTATTTACGTTCGGAAATACCTTACAGGGTTATTAGCGTATCTCCATCAACTTACTCGGAATCTGCGGAACATTTGTTCCTCGAAATCACACTTTATCATACAAAAGTTTTCCTTGGAGTATTGTATAGTCCTAACCTTAATATTAATTACTTTGATACATTAGATACACTTCTTAATAATTTCTGTCCTGTATATAGCCATGTAATCTTGATGGGGGATTTCAACACATGTATAATTAAAAATGATTTACGTACTTATAAATTGAAATCTCTCATGTCATCTTATAACCTAGAAATCTTGCCTCTATCTGCCACCCATCACTTTCCCAATTGTACTGCATCTCTTCTAGATCTGATTATTGTGTCGTTTTTAAATAGTGTTGCTAACCACGGACAAATATGTGCCTCATTTTCATATCACGATCTCATTTACTTATCTTACCGTGTACGTCCCCCTAAGCGCAAGCCACATTTTCGATATCTTAGAAGTTATAATGGCATTAACTTGGAGACGTTGAGGAGCGATGCTAGTTTAATTGACTGGTCACCGGTTATTGAATGTTCTAACATTGAGGACAAAGTGATTAACTTCAATTCTCTAATTTTAGATTTATATAATCACTATGCACCAGTAAAACGTGTGAAAATAAGGCACAACCCTGCACCGTGGATCACAGCTAATATAAAAGACCTGATGGCACGTAGAGATAAAGCTAAAAGAAGGTATAAGCGATATCCCCTTGAACGCAATTTAATCAGCTTTAAAATACTACGAAATCGCTGCAATCGCTTGTGTAGAGATGCTAAAAGGCGCTATTTTCATGATACCCTCACAAGTTGCGATACTGCAAAATCATGGAATTTTCTGAGGTCTGTCGGTGTCGGAAAATATTCTGCTGGTGTGGGAAGTGAAATTAACTTGGATAGTCTCAACGAACATTTTGCCAACCCTCCAGTAATAGTTTCATCATTTACTAAAGCCGGAACCCTACTTGAATTATCCAAATGCCCAATACGTCATTATTCCTCATTTAATTTCACTTCTCTTACTGAAGATGATTCTATGCGATCCGTCCTTGCAATTTCATCTACTGCTATGGGAAATGATAACATCTGCTCTAAAATGATTACGTTGATTCTTCCCTTTCTGCTCCCTATTCTTACTCATATCTTTAATTTCTCTTTATCTTCTTGTTGCTTTCCGTCGTCATGGAAGTTAGCTCATATTATTCCTATACCCAAAGTTTCAAATCCTTCATCTGCAACACATTACCGCCCTATTTCCATTTTACCATTTCTTTCAAAGGTACTTGAACATATTGTCCACACACAATTGACCAAGTTTCTTAACCGTAACAATATCTTAAGTACTTTTCAATCCGATTTTAGGCCTGGTCACAGTACAACTACTGCTCTCCTCAAGGTAACAGATGATATCCGGTGCGGTATAGACCAAAAATATTTAACGGTACTTGTGCTGCTAGATTTTAGCAGTGCCTTCAATTCTATTGATTTTGATATACTTCTTAGCATTCTTCATTCTATTAATGTGTCTCCTTCAACTATTCAATGGTTTGATTCCTACCTCCGTGGCCGCTCTCAGTGTATTCGTATCAATGAAACTTTATCCAAGTGGTGCAATCTAGCCACGGGTGTACCTCAAGGTGGCGTCCTTTCTCCTTTACTCTTT